AAAAAAAAAAAAAAAAGCAGCTCAGGAACAATGCCCAGGCCCAGAATTCAAGCTCCAGGACTGGCAAAATAAAAGCCCCTATGGACATCCGTTTATATGTTTTGTATAACACACACACATATACACATACATACTATATACACATATATACTATAATATATAGTATATATATATATATAGTATATATAGTATATATAACATATATACTATATATATATATATATATATAATTATATATAGTAACTGCATACCATTCTGAGATTTGGGAAACTTTTTCTAAGCAACTGTACTATTTTTATTCTAATCAGCAGTGTATAAGGATTCCAATTTTTCCATATCTTTCCTACCTCTTATTATTTATCTTTTGTATTATGGCTATCCTATAAAGCATAAAGTCTCATCTCTTTTCAGCTCTAATATGCATGTCCTTGATGACTAGTGATACTGAGCATATTTTCAAGGGCATTTCACCATTTGTATCCTATACATTTTTAAAACTGCCAATTTTTTGCTATTGGGTTGTAACGTTTCTTTAAGAAACAAATCACTTTAAGGATATATAATTCACAAGTATATTTCCCTCCAATCTGTAGATTGACTTCCTATTTTAAGTAGTGTTATTTTCAGCACAGATATCCCTTCATCTCCCTTCTTCTCCATTTCATTTTTCTTCCCTCTCTTCAGAGGTAGATTGGGTCTTGCTATGTAGCCCAGGCTGGCCTTGAACTCATGATCCTCCTAGAGTACAAGCATATGCTACCATTTCTGTGTACAATCCATCTTGATCAATGTCACCCTCTCAACCCCCATGTATAGGGACACATCAATATAAAAGCTTCATAGTGAGATTTTGTTTTTGTTTTGCCAGTCCTGGGGCTTGAACTCTGCCTGGGCACTGTCCTTGAGCTTCTTTTTGCTCAAGGCTAATACTGTACCACTTGAGCCACAGCAGCACCTCTGGCCTTTTCTGGGGTTTTTTTGTTTGTTTGTTTTTGTTTTTTCCGGTCATGGGGCGTGAACTCTGGGTGGGCCTGGGCGCTGTCCCTCAGCTCTTCAGCTCAAGGCTAGTGCTCTACCACTTGAGCCACAGCGCCACTTCCGGCTTTCTCTGCTTATGTGGTGCAGAGGAATCAAACCCACGGTCTCATGCATGCAAGGCAAGCACTCTACCACTGAGCCACCTTCCCAGCCCCTAGACATCAAGTTTTTAGTTCCAGTCTCGAAAAAAAAATGTATGAAAATACAATTAATTTCTATATATAATTTTTCATCCTGCAACCCTGTTGAACTTACTAGTTCAAATATGTATATGTGTGTGTTCCTTGGGATTTTCTATTTATTCTATTTCCCCCTTATCCATTGTTTCAGTTACTAGTGGTCAACTAAACAAAATAAATCATAAAGTATACATGGCAATACAATAAGAGGGGAGCCATCTATAAACCAAGAAGACAGACTTCAAAGGGGGAAAAGAAAACTTGCTGACACTATGATCTTAAGACTTACAAAATTCTCAGACAATTAATTTATATTGTTTAAACCACCCACCTGTGGTATTTTGTTATGGCAGCCCTATTCTATTTGCAAAGCATTTTAACATTTCTCTCATGTGTTGCCTATTAATATCATTTGCCTGCTAATACTAGGATATGTTCTGTCTCATAAAACTTCTGAATACATGGATGATAACCCTCTATCTCTTTTGTGAAAATAGCTTCTAACTATACAAGAGTAAAAATGAAACAAGAATCCTTGGAAGTCTCTATGAGACTTTTATTATAATTGGAATTATAATCTTATACCAACATATCGATATTACTTTTCCACTATGGGAATTTATTCTCAAAATAACCAGCAAATTGCTATTTAATAAAAACTTGCTCTTCAACTTAGTTGATATTTGGTATAAAGTCTCAGCAGAATAACAAATCAATTTGAATTAATATAATAACAATCACTTGTTTTCCTGATTTTTGTTTGGTCTTGCTTTGTTGCTCAGACTGGCCTCAAAATCATGATTTTCCTATTTTAGCCTCCTAATTGTTAATATCTAATACTATTCTTTTTTTATTCTTCTTTATTGTTGAATAGTACTATTCTACTTTTTTTGGGGGGGGGTCCGGTTGTGGGGTCTGAACTCTGGGCCTGGGCACTGTCCCTCAGCTCTTCAGCTCAAGGCTAGCACTCTACCACTTGAGCCACAGCACCACTTCCGGCTTTTTGCTTTTTGCTTATGTGGTGCTGAGGAATCGAACCCAGAGCCTCATGCATGCAAGGCAAGCGCTCTACCACTGAGCCACCTTCCCATACCCAGTACTATTCTATTATACACAATTTGCTTATCCATTACCTGTGAAAGAGATTTAGGTTGTAACTGAATCTTTTATGTTTTTAATTCTATTTTACTTACTAGAATTCCTCCAAGAAACATACAGAGGTTCTTCTGGTTCCTGATGAAGATTAATGTTATCCCATAACAGTTGAATATATACAAGTTTGCTATCTTGAGACAAAGATGACAGAGGAAGCTAAAAGACATTAATAAAAAATATTAGCATTCCAAATGTAATATGGCCTGAACACAACTTGATTATATATAAAATAGATGAGTTATTTAAAAACTTTGGCACTACATTTTTTTTTTTTTGGTCGGTCGTGGGGCATGAACTCTGGGCTTGGCGCTGTCCCTGCGCTCTTCAGCTCAAGGCAAGCGCTCTACCGCTTGAGCCATAGTGCCACTTCTGGTTTTCTAGTGGTTTATTGGAGATAAGAGTCTCATGGACTTTCCTGCCCGGGCTGGCTTTGAACCGTGATCCTCAGATTTCAGCCTCCTGAGTAGCTAGGATTACAGGCGTGAGCCATTGGTGCCTGGCTTTGGCCCTAGAATTTTGAGCAAAATTTTAAACTATTAATGTCGGATGAGAAATTTCTTTGCTGTTCTGACATAGGTTTCTCATTCTGACTTTCAAGGACTGGAATGACAACTTATTAACTAGCACAAGTCTAGATGAAAGGTTAAATAAACATCATTACAACAAATTGCAAAGTAAGACAAACTGGGTGTTTCTATTTTCTTACCAAATAGTATTGTATCATCTCAAAATAAAAAGTCAAAGTCAAATTAGAGTTTCTGAGTTATTTTGTGACAGTCCTGGGGCTTGAACTCAGGGCCTGTGCACTGTCCCTAAGCTTCTTTTGTCAAGGCTAACACTCTACCACTCGAGCCACAGTGCTACTTCTGGCTTTTTCTGAGTAGTTTATTGGAGGTAAGTCTCATGGCCTTTTCTGCCAGGACTGCCTTTGAACCTTACTCCTCAGATCTCAGCCTCATGAGTAGCTAGGATTACAGGCATGAGCTATCAGGATTCACCTACAGCCTTGTATTCTTGGTTGGCTTTTTCACTTAAGGCTGAGCCACAGCTCTACTATTAGCTTTTGAGATACAAGTCTCACCAATTTGTCTGCATGGCTGACTTCAAACCAGGATCTAGATCTCAGCATCCTGAGGAGCTAAGATTATAGGCAAGAGCCACCAATACCAAGGGAAAAGCTTGTAGAGCTATGTAACTTTTCAGCTAGGTATGACCATATCAGGCCACATAGCTACATGTAGAAATACTGTTTATAACTTCTCTATCAGTGAGAAGACACACTGTTTTCCATCCATATGTTTCATTTCTACTTCTAGACTGTGAAAGAGCAGAAATAAATTCTAGAGCAAAAAAAGACCTTGGAAATAGAAGTCATGTACAGCTAAGCAAAAAGATAGAAGGTCCCAGTGTGCTATCCCTCAACTTTTAAGTGAGAGACTTATTATCTTGTTAAGTTACTTTTGTAAGTATAGAAATTGATATCCTACCTGCACACCTTCATTACAATGTTCCGATGTGAGGATAAGTCCTGGCAAGTTGCTAGGAAGGTCTAAACGTCTGAAATACCACACAAGGTTCCAGAAAATGATTGGATGTTGATTGATGAAAGAGGATGTGTGAATCACCTGATCACCTTCATTTTCTAACAGAGATTCAAGTTCTTTACGAAGTACCAGAGGACTCAAATACGGCACAGAAACTGGGGGAGGATTAGGTTTTTTTCCTAAAGGGTCCTTTAAAAAAAAGTACAAGAAGTGAACATTATCTATTTTAATTCTACATGCTTAACAGTGCTTTTCAGAGACATCATACTTCTCTATTTGTCCTGTTATTTCCGTACAAATTATTACATGTAACAACATCCTAGTAAATGAAAACCTTAATCTCTTTCCTTAAGCTTTCTTTAAGCTATTTAATCTCTCTTAGGTTAAACCATTGCAAGAGAATTAGCTGTATTTCAATAAACCTATTAAAATAACATTAATTTTTATAGCATATATTTATGCATTTTTTCAGTTGATATAAAAACATGTTCATTTTTACATAATTTATGATGACACAATTTATATAGCTTATATAGTTTACATAGTATAGAATGATGACCTTATTTCTGCAACTCTAATAAATAGGATATTCTTTGTGTTAATATCTGTACTAATTTTTTGTCCTTTGAAAATTATATCTTATTAATTTACATTTGATTACAACAACCCCTAGAAAAGTTAAATACTGCCTAGGTTGTGGTCTCAAATTCCATTTAATTCTAAAAAGAACCAAGGCTTCTTAAGGAAAGGACACACATAGCAGTGGCATAAAAACCAGATATAGTGGGCTGGGAAGGTGGCTCAGTGGTAGAGTGCTTGCCTTGCATGCATGAGGCCCTGGGTTCGATTCCTCAGCACCACATAAACAAAAAGAAAAAAGCCACAGTGGCCACAGTGCCACTTCTGGCCTTCTCTGTTTATGTGGTACTGAGGAATTGAACCCAGGGGTTCAGGCATGCATGCTAGGCAAGCACTTTACCACTAAGCCACATTCCCAGCTCATAGATATATTTTATATAATTTAAAAAAGTAGAGGCCAGGCTCCGTGGTAGAGTGTTTGCCTTGCATGCATGAGGCCCTGGGTTCAATTACTCAGCACCACATAAGCAGAAAAAAAAAGCCGGAAGTGGCGCTATGGCTCAAGTGGTAGAGCGCTAGCCTTGAGCTGAAGAGCTGAGGGACAGGCCCAGGCCCAGAGTTCAGGCCCCACGACCGGACCAAAAAAAAAAAAAAAAAGTAGAGGCTATTAATGAATTAGTTATCCGGCACATTAATAGCTGCTAATATCACAAATACTGATGAGAACATACCATACAATTTCACTGGTCATGACATCAGACAAAAATAAACAAGCAATAAAACCCCGAATCTGATCAAGTACCTAGTACAAGTATCAATTTACAAGACTACAATCAGCCAAATCAAGACAGTAGAAAACTGTAGTATCTAAAGGACAATTGACTCAATTTTATCAACAAATTGCAAGAAGAGTGCTGGGAAGTGGTAGAGCATTTGCCTAGCAAGTACAAGGTCTGAGTTCAAACTCTAGTAATACCAATGAAAAACAATAAAAGGAGAAAAAAAGACTGTACAGGTTTAAAAGAATTAGAGCAAATTCCAAATAACTGCAAGGCAGATAGGTATTCTACTTGATCCTAAAGCCTCTAACAACACCCCCCCATACACACACTGGATAACTGCATTATAATTAGAAATTTGAACAAAGATTAAATAACTTCATATTAGTTCTTATTTTTTATATAATGGCATTGTGATTTTATTATGAAACAAATCACTTAGGAATGCATATTGAAAACATTTACAAAGAGGATGAAACTTCCTGCAAAATAATTTAGAAAATAGAAAATGAATGAAGATTAACATAAAAAAAATGAATAGTCGGGGCTGGGAAGGTGGCTCAGTGGTAGAGTGCTTGCCTTGCATACTTGAGGCCCTGGGTTCGATTCCTCAGCACCACATAAGCAGAAAAAAAAAAGCCAGAAGTGGTGCTGTGGCTCAAATGGTAGAGTGCTAGCCTTGAGCTGAAGAGCTGAGGGACAGCACCCAGCCCCAGAGTTCAGATCCCATGACCGGGCCCCCTCCCCCCCCCAAAAAAAGAATAGTCATAAACTACAAGTTTCTGAGGCTAGAGGGGCCTGAACTCTGGGCCCGGGCTCTGTCTCCCAGCTCTTCAGCTCAAGGCTAGCACTCTATCACTTGAACCACAGCGCCACTTCCGGCTTTTTGTTTTCTGCTTATGTGGTGCTGAGGAATCGAACCCAGGGTCTCATGCATGCAAGGCAAGCGCTCTACCACTGAGCCAACTTCCTAGCCCTCCTGTGTATTTTTTTAACTATTTCAAAATCTCAATGTTAAAAAATTAAAAAGTTCTTAGTTTATGAGGAAATCTTTTGTCTACTACTTTCTGTGTCATTAATTCGATTACAAACTATGCAATATTCCACTCTGTACTGACAAGAGTATACAATATGATTGCAGTATTACATACCACAACTTCCTGTAGACTGTTTGGGAGACTGACTGTTGAAATGCCATGATAAGGTCTTTGGGAGAAGTCAATATTTTGCAAAGGGCCTCCAACACTGTGGCTTCGAGTCAAAGATACATTTCGTTTTGATGAACTATTAGGCACAGATGAAATTTTCATAGTTTGGACATTTTCACTGGCTTGCTTTAATCCACCACTTTAAAAAAATGAAGAAATGCTGTTAGTCACGAAAATTAATCTAAATCCAGAGAGCTAGACAAATTTCTTCAATGGATTTTAAATGTATAAGAATTACCATTTCCCAAATAAAATAAAATTAAATTAAAAAAAAAAGAATTACCATTTCCTTTTAAGAATTAAATTTGGTGCCAGATATGGTGGCACATACTTGTAATTCTAGACTGAGGCAAGAGTATCTTAAGCTCAGAGCTACAGAGAGATATCCTGACTCAATCCCTTCCCCTCCTCTTCCACAATAGAATTAAACTTGGAGCTTGAGGTAGAGTTCAGTGGTAAAGCACTTGTCTCCCACCTATACCCCTATGTTTAATCCCAGTATTCCCACCAACAAAAGAAATTCATTTTTCTTCACATAGTTTTATACAATTGGTCAGAAGAACATGGATGGTAATGAGGACTGAAAAGAGAATTTATGGTGTAACTTATAAGGTTATAAGTTACATTTCATTGCTTTATTCAAACATAAGGTCTTATTCAAAAAATAACAACAAATAACAAAATAACAAAAGTAAACCTAGTGAGTCTGCATACCTGAGTTCAAATCTCAGCACTGCCTCTCTGCCAAAAAGTAAAATATGAGCTGAACATGGTGACACATACCTGAAATCTCAAATATTTGGGAGGCAGACAAGAGGCGAACTCAAGGAAAACTGTTGGTGAGATCTGTCTCAAAAAACAAACTGGAAACCTGGCGCCAGCATCTCACACCTGTAATTTTAACTATTTAAGAGGCTGATATATGATGATCACAGTTCAAATACAGCCCAAGCAAAAAAGTCTGAGATTCTCATCTCTAATGGAAATGGAGCTGAGGCTTAAGTGATAGAGCACAAGCCTTGAGCAAAAAACTCAAGGACAGCACCCAGGCCCAGAGTTCAAGCCCTAGGATGGGCACTATGGGGGGAAAAAAAAAGAACAAACAAACCCCTAACTGGACATGGAGACAAACCCAAGACAATGGGTACAGAGCTAGCCCTGGGCAAAAGTATGAGAGTCTATCTAAAAAACGAAGTGCTGGGTATAATGGCTCAAATGGTAGACTGCTTGCCTAGTAAGTGAGACTCTTGAATCCAAATCACAATATTGCCAAACAGGAAAAAATAAAATATGTACTTTATACAAAAGAACCTGCCCTAACCAGAAAAGCATTTTAACTATTGAGAAGTTCATTTTGTAAAATATGCTTTAAAACATTAAACTTATTTTTAAAATGTTGTATCATAAGCTTTATTCATTAAATATTTAAAAGCTATGTGGTAGTAAAAAATACAAGTTAAAATTTTTTTATTTTATGTAGAGATCAAACCAAGAGTCTGATGCATATGAAGCAAGCAAGTGTTCTACCACCAGCAAATTCCAACCCTTGTTTTATGAAGACAAAGAGTCATAAAGTAACTCATGTTGGCTTTGAATATAGTACATAGTTACTCTGGCCTCAGTCTCACAATCCTCCTGCCTCAATCTCATTCCTGAGAGCCAGAATTACAAATATGCACCACCAAGACCATCAAGATTAAGTTTTTAAATGCCAGAACTGACTAGATTCAGGTTTTCATTAAATATATAATTTTTACAAGAGTATCTAACTTGCTACGGCAAGTTCTCTATTTCCTATGGTACCTTGAGTCAACTGTATGGCTTGCTTCTTCCGATATTGTCTGGTTATGTTTCGGGAAATCCATGAAGTTAATCAAGTCAGGTTCTGCTGAACTGCATACAGGTTTGTGTTCCAAGGGCTCACTGGCCAATGGCATGCCTCCACTTTGTAAACTGTCACCAGAGGTACTTGGTTTCAAGAAAAAACTAAAATGAAGCAAGGGGGAAGAAGTCTTTTAAAAAATCCGAGTCTTAAAATTTTTATTGCATTTAGAATTATTTTGTGATACTCATTAATGAATTCATAAGGGAAAGACTGCCTATTACAAACATATACTTCTGTTTTCAATCCTTCTTCCCTCTTTTCCTAAAATCAGCTTGATACAAGATGGTGTGTTTTGAGAACTACTAAACAAAGTCCTGAAGGAATTTTTAAAAATTAAAAATAGTGATTTTAAAAAAGACCGACATTTTGGCATATACCTATAATCATATCCATTGGGAAGCTAATTTAGCAGGAATATGTTGGGAGGGAGGGAAAAGGTTGAAGGGAGAGGGGGAGGGAAAAGGGGAAAGGTATAGCAACAGCACTTTAAAATATATTAATTTGTAATTGTTTACAGTACCATTTTTTCTTTTTGCTTATGTGGTGCTGAGGAATTGAACCCAGGGCCTCAGGCAGGCAAGGGAAGCACTCTCCCACTGAGCCACCTTCCCAGCCATTACAGTACCATTTTTACAGTTTATGAATGCTTTTTTTTGGTCGGTCGTGGGGCTTGGTCTCTGAGTCTGGGCGCTGTCCCTCAGCTCTTCAGCTCAAGGCTAGTGCTCTACCACTTCAGTCATAGCACCACTTCCAGCTTTTTCTGCTTATGTGGTGCTGAGGAATAGAACCCAGGGCCTCATGCATGCAAGGCAAGCACTCTTACACTGAGCCACCTTCCCAGCCTGGAATCTGTTTTGTCTCTAGTCATATCTGTTCTTTTATTTTCATACTCCTCCCTTTCAGTAGGGATTAGGTGAGGAAGGATTCTCATAACGGACACTGGAGAATTTTCTGAAGTGATACTAATGTTCTGTAACTTGCTAAGGGCACAAATATATGCATTTACTCTTCAAATGGTACATCTGAAATTAGTATATTACTTGTACTACAATTCATGATTTTTTTTCCTTGCCAGTGCTGGGGTTTGAATTCAAGGCCTGGGCACTGTCCCTTAGCTTTTTTTGCTCAAGGCTAGCACTCTACCACTTGAGCCACAGCACCACTTCTAGCCTTTTCTGTTTATGTGGTACTGAGGAATTGAACCCAGGGCTTCATGAATGTTAGGCAAGACCTCTACCAGTAAGCCATATACCCAGTCCAGTACTACAATTCTAAATTGCAGTTAGTAATACACATGCTGAAGTGTTTGGGGGAGACATGTGCTAACATCTTTCGTGTGTGTGTGTGTGTGTGTGTGTGTGTGTGTGTGTGTGTGTGTGTGTGTGTGTGTGTGTGTGTGCGCGCGCGCACATAAAGACTTTTCCACATTTTTGGCGGTTTAGTGTGTGTGTGTGTACACATAAAGACTTTTCCACATTTTTGGCGGTTTATTGGACATAAGGATCTCAATAATTTTCCTACCCAGGCAGTGAGCTTCAAACTGTGACCCTCAGATCTCAGACTTTTGAGTAGCTAGGATTACAAACATGAGCCATTGGCGCCCACACTTCTCCATATTTTTAAATGAATAAAAGTATATGTTGATAAATAGGAAATAAACAGGTGATTAGAGCAAGTACAGTAAAATATAAACTGGAGAATATAACAGTGAATACATTTAGGTATTCACTGTAAAAAAATGTTTTAAGTGGCTGGGTAGTTCAGTGGTAGAGCACCATCCCTAGTACTTCCTATCCTGCTCCTATCTTTAAACTTTGTTGTAAACTTGAAATTTTCATATTGATATGTGTATGTAGGGGGGTGACCAAAAATGCTACTTTATACCTGTTGTCACTGTACTTGACTTTGGTACCCTACATCTTTGTGTATAAATGTATCTAATTTAGGGAGGGGAATAACAAAATGCTGAAACAAGGACACAGGATGACCCATTGCAACAATGATACTCACAAGACACTATGTTGGAAATCAACTTTACAACTTGGGGGGTGGTGAAGGTGGGGGAAGGAAGGGATAATGGGAGAACAACAAAGGAGGGGTAACAATGCTCGACAAGAAATGTACTCATTACCTTACTCATGTAACTGTAACCCCTCTGTACAGCATCTTTACAATAAAATAAAAATAGTTTAAAAAGCTACTTTATACCTAATTAGAAAGTGTATTTTTAAAAGGTTCTTGTCACTGTAGCTTAAAAAACCACAACTCAATGAAAAAAGTATAAGACATAGGAAAAATAATTCCAAATGCTTTATACTAAAAACCATATATAATCTGAAAAAATAGATATACATTGTTCATATTTAAGATAATAACACTGAGGCCAGGCGCCGGTGGCTCACGCCTGTCATCCTAGCTACTCAGGAGGTTGAGATCTGAGGATCACGGTTCAAAGCCAGCTTAGACAGAAAAGTCCATGAAACAAGTCTTAACTCTTATCTCCAATAAACCATCAGAAAACCGGAAGTGGAGCTGTAGCTCAAGTGGTAGAGTGCTAGACTTGAGCTGAAGAGCTGAGGGACAGTGCTCAGGCCTAGAGTTCAAACCCCACAAACCGACCACAAAAAAAAAGACAGTAACATTGAAAACTTCAGTTTTCCACAAATTAATCTATAAATCTAATCCAATTACAATAGAAAATTTAGATTAATTTTCCTGGGGACTCACAAAAAGCACTGTATTGACAGAAGAAGGCAGGATCAGGAAGAGGCCTACAGGATAGAGAGGACACTACACATCAGAGAGGAAAAGACAGGCTACTTGAGGAGATCATAATGGCTTGTTAGATAGAGAAAAATATAAGCTGGATTTTACCCTCTTCCATAAAAGGTAGACATCAAATGGATGAAAGACTTAAATATCAAGCAAGGGTATAATATAAAGAATATTAAACCTAGCATGTGCAAGGCCCTGGGTTCAATACCCAGCCCTAGAAAAACAAAAGAAAACAAAAACCAGAAAAAGATTATTTAGGGAGAAAAAAATGTCCTAGACATGGAACACAACATCTTAAACAAAATTCAAATCACAATTCAAAATTAGTGGACTATGATATCAAATTAATGATTTATCTGCAAATATTATCAAGAATATTAAAGTCAAATCAACACAAATAAAAACTTAACAGAAAAGTAGGCAAGGAATATAGGAAGGCAATTTGCAGAACATATTGAACAGCTGTTCATGGTGGAGCACATACAGTGCTAGCAGTCAAAGGAGGCTAAGGCTAGGCCAGCTTGGACTACGCAAACAAAAACATAATTTTATTTAAAAAATTCATTAAAGGGAAAAGAAAATGCTAAACTAACAAATAATGAAGAAACAGTTAAACTTACTAGTTCAGAAATGCAAACAAAAATAATAAAATCCAGGTGTGGTGGTATAAAGCTTTGATCTTAGCATTAAGGAAACTAAGGCAGGAAGATCATGAGTTCAAGGCCAGCCTAGGTTAATAAGTAGTGAGACCCTGTCTCAAAAACAAAACAAAAAAACCCTGAAAATTGAGTACTGCCTACCAACAAACAAAATCCTGAGTTCAAACTCCAATACCCCCCAATGCTTTTCTACATTATTCTAATTATACAAATTAAAATACACAAGTATACAAAACAACACTATGTATTTTATAAGCATCTATGTTTAAGAATATGTCACATCTAGCTCATTGGTGTCTGCTGGATAAAGGAACGAGTGGAAATGGAAGAAGAGAATTAATGAGGCCCAGACCAATGAAAATAATACATCAAGAATATAATCTGCGCCTGGCGCCGGTGGCTCACACTTGTAATCCCAGGTACTCAGGAGGCTGAAATCTGAGGATCACAGTTCAATGCCAGCCTGGGCAGGAAAGTCAGTGAGACTTTTTTTTTTTTGGAGGGGCTCTGGGCCTGGGTGCTGTCCCTCAGCTCTTCAGCTCAAGGCTAGTGCTCTACCACTTGAGCCACAGCACCACTTCCGGCTTTTTTCTTTTTGCTTATGTGGTGCTGAGGAATCGAACCAAGGGCCTCATGCATGCAAGGCAAGCACTCTACCACTGAGCCACCTTCTCAGCCCCAAAGACTTTATTTTTTAAAGCAACTGCAAGTGCTAAGGATGGAGCTCAGAACAAGTAATTTAGCATGTAAAAGTCCTGGGCTTAATTTCCACCAATCAAAGCAAAAATAAAACTCAACTAAAGGCAGATAATAACAAAAAATTCATTTGCTCAATAAAATACCATTGTAATAAATTAATATTTCAGCATTTCTCTCAATTACTTACCAACTCTCAACTTTTTATTTTATATTTTTGAGGGGGGGGGGTGCTTAAACTCAGGGCTTGGGCACTGTCCCTGAGCTTTTGTGCTCAAGGCTAGCACTCTACCATGAGCCACAACTTCACTTTGGCTTTCTGACAGTTTATTGGAGATAAGGGTCTTACCAACTTTCCTTCCAGGACTGGTTTGGAACAGCAATCCTTACATTTCAGCCTCATGAGTTGCAAGGATTACAGGCAAGAACCACCAGAGCCCAGCTCAATTATTTAGTGACTCACTACAAACCAGGTAGTTTCCTTTCTTTTCACTTTTTTTTTTGTTTTTGGCTGATCATGGGGCCTGAACTCTGGGCCTGGGCGCTGTCCCTCAGCTCTTCAGCTCAAGGCTAGCACTCTACCACTAGAGTCACTTCTGGTTTTTTCTGCTTATGTGGTGCTGAGGAATCGAATCCAGGGCCTCATGTATACAAGGCAAGCGCTCTACCACTGAGCCACCTTCCCAGCCTCTTTCTTTTCACTTTCTTATTTTTTTGGTCCACTCAAACTGGATACCTGACACTAACACTCATTGTCTAGTGCTCTACAAACTGAGCCGTGCCTTTCTACCATCTAAAATTTGCCATCTCACTGTACCAAATGACAAGTAAGGAGACATAACTAAGGTCACAAAGACAAGCTTAAAACAATCCCTAACATAAGACTTTTGAATTACCTACAAAGTTCAGTTCCAAGAATATTTCTACTGATGATCACATGCTAAAATGGAAAAGTATTCCGGGTGCTGGTGGCTCACACCTCCACACCTATAAGCCTAGCTACTCAGGAAGCTGAGATCAGAGAAACAGGAAAGTCTATGAGATTCTTTTTTTTTTTTGGGGGGGGGGTCCAGTCGTGGGGCCTGAACTATGGGCCTGGGCGCTTTCCTTCAGCTCTTCAGCTCAAGGCTAGCGCTCTACCACTTGAGCCACAGAGCCACTTCCGGCTTTTTTCTTTTTGCTTATGTGGTGCTGAGGAATCAAACCCAGGGCCTCAAGCATGCAAGGCAAGTGCTCTACCACTGAGCCACCTTCCCAGCCCCTCTATGAGATTCTTATCTCCAGTTAACCACCAGAAAATCGCAAGTGGCTCTAAGTGGTAGAGTGCTAGTCTTAAGCAAAAAAAGCTCAGGGATATTGCCCAGGCCCTGAGTTCAAGCCCCATAACTAACACACTCTCTCTCTTTCTGTTTCTCTCTCTCACACACACACCACCACCACCACCACCACCACCACCACCATCAAAAACAACAACAACAACAAAAAGGAAAAACAGTCTTTCATTTTATTACTAATATCCTCTAATCTAATACTGATGGTGAAGAAGAAGAAAGGCAGGCCTGGAACATGCTATGAGATTTATTCTCTTGCCCCAGGAGTCATGCCTTCCAAGGGGCACTTACCTCTTGAGGGAACATTTAGATTACTAACCTTGCAGAACCTCTCAGGTCTTTAAATTCTATATTGAGAAAAGGCAAGAAGTTGCTTTTACAGAACGGACAGGTTGTATTCAAATTTGAATCATCTGCCGTCCACCCAGCCATAATTTCTTCATCATAAACTAATGCTTCACAAGCTCTACATTGTGAACAACTTGACATCAAAACCTGATTACAAAAAAAAAAAAAGAAAACAAGAATACTGAGAATCTAAACTGCATCTTAAAGGTCATTTTTTTTCACAATAGAAATGCAGCTTTATTAAGGAAATGAGAATGAGCAAGTGAAACTGGATTGGAAAAGGGTCTGAAATTTTCCTTTAATATTCTCCAAAGCTTCAGGCTTCTATTCACATGGGTCTCATCCTTCAGATCTGGGAAAGGTCATTTTCTTAACAGAATTTTAGTTATTCTATTGATCATATCTGGAATTAATAGCTTTATTATGTTACAGGTGAAACTATCAGTTCATTACCTTATAAGATAACAATCCCAACAAAATGAATACTGTTAAATGATACTCTGAAATAAAAGTAAGTTTATATCACTTTATCATGGGCAGAAGACAGAACTTTTACCTCCATTGCACAGTTCTGATAGATGCTAGACATGCTGGTGTTTTGAGATGAACCATGGTCTGATTTTTCAAAGTCCTGCCTCCTTATTCCTCTTGGAAATGGAACTTCACCTAGAGAAGAATAAGCATAACACATTATGTGCTGGGGACAAATCTCAGTGGTATAGTGCTTGGCTATCACGTACTCAGCCCCAGGACCACAAATAGCCAAAACATGTAGGAGACTGTCCTTATGCTTTGGAAATAAATACCAAAGTATTTAGGAGGGAACGATTGTAAAATCTGCTTTATTTTCAAATGGTTACAATATTTTTTCAAATGGTTACAATATAGAATTAGGTGTACTTAGAAATATTTAGAAAGAATTTCTGGGTGCTGGTGCCTCACGCCTGTAATCCTAGCTACTCAGGAGGCTGAGATCTGAGGATCGTGGTTCAAAGCCAGCCCAGACAGGAAAGCCCATGAGACTTTCATCTCCAATAAACCACTAGAAAATGGGAAGTGGCACTGTGGCTCAAGCGGTAAAGAGCTTGCCTTGAGCTGAATAGCGCAGGGACAGCACCCAAGCCCAGAGTTCAAGCCCCATGACAGAACAAAAAAAAAAAAAAAGAAATGATAAAATTAAGTCTATGGCTGGGTGCTGGTGGATCCCTAACTACTTAGAAACCTGACATCTAAGAATCCAGGTTTCAAGCCAGAGTAGGTGAAGTCTTTAAGGCTCATAAGATAATTAATCAGCAAAAAGTTGGAAGTGGAGCTGTGACTCAAGTGCTAGAGCTCCAGCCAGTTTTGAGCAAAAAACCCAAGCAAGAATGCAAGAACAGGAGTTCAAGACGCCCCCCCCCCCGCAGTTAATTAGGTCTAAGTAGAGAATATGTAATTGTTCACTTACTTAATTCTTCCAATTTCTCATAACATTTGGAATTTTTCACAATAAAAAAATTAAGAGGAAAAAACCTCTTGATATTGTGGCACACAGCTATAATTTCAGCATGTAGGAGGCTAAGGCAGGAAGATAATGAATTGGAGACCAGATTAGACTACATAGTGAGACCCTATCTCAAAAAAAAAAAAAAAGAGGAAAAAAAGTCCTATTTCATTTTTGTGTGCTCATATTGGGGCTTTCAGGCCCTCAAGCTCTCCTTCAGCCTTTTCTGCTCCTGCTCCACCACTTGAATCACAGCTCTATTTCCAGCTTCTTGCTGGTTAATTAGCGAAAAGAGTCTTAGAATTTTCTGCCTGGGTTGGTTTTGAACTTCAGACCTCATATTTTAGCCTGCTGAGAGGGTAG